CATATGATATGATACATATATTAACCTCACATAATCCCTCGGACTCCCCGGCCCCCACAGGCGCCTTGGGAGCACCGACCCTCTTCCAATCCAAGTGCTCCAGCTTGGGAAGGGTTTGGGGGAGGTGGGTTTCCCTAGGGCCAGCTCCAAACATGCCAGAGGTCTGTGGGGGTATGGGCAGAAGGAGCCCTGTAAGTACTCGAGGATTTCTGGAAGGTACCTGTTACCACATAATTAGGGTTCCCCAGTTTTTAACTGCCCCCCCCAAGGCCTCCTGCTTCTCCCCACCACCTCCTTGAAGGTCACCAGGGTTTCAGAAACCACACCAGGGGACAGGGGCCCTGACCAGGGAAGCCTCCTCTCCTGTGTCTCCGGGCTCAGCTGCTGCGACCCCAGAAATCCCAGACTTTCGTCTGCATATTCGGGAGCGAGGAGGAAAGCCGGGTGACGTTGTGGAGCTAAGTGTTGCTCCCTGGAGTCCTGGGGTTGGGAGCCTGGCCTGCATTCGTCCAGTTAGGTCTAGTTAGCTCCACGCCCCGGCGGCGGCGCGAGGTGGCGAGGCCGGGAGTTCTGTCTCAGCCTGCGCCCCGTTCCCCCCAGCGGAGATGGCGGCTCCAGGCCCATTCCCGCAATCCACCCGCCCCCTCTCCCCGGCAGCGACCCCCTGAGGGGCGAACTGTGGGTCCCGTCGGTTGGGGGGGGGGGGATCCGCCTCCTCTCCGCGCAGAACCGCAGGCCGGAAGGCGGGACCAATCCCTGCCCGCCCCGCTGTGCACCGGGAGTGCGGGACTGGAAGCCAGAGCAGGACGGGCGGGTTGGGGAACCCTGCCTAGTCACAGTGAATTCAGGGACCATTCCCAGGACCACACAACTCCTCCAAACCCGCGGCGAGTGGATTGCCTGGAAAGTCGCCAGGTAGGCACTCTGGTCTCCCCCACTGTTCCCTTGGGTGTGGGGGCATCTCAGTTTCTGGAGGCCTCCACCCCAAGCCCGAGGGAGCCGCGGGGCCCAAGACACCTAGGGAATCAGAGCCCCCCAACCCCCGCAAAAGCTTTGGAGGCCCTTCCCAACAAACTCTGTCCCGCAACTAAAAAAGGAATGACCTTTAATTTCTCCTCCTGGGCTCTAGGGATTTGGGGTTTATCCTGGTCTCCTTGTAAGAAAGTGGCTAGTTTCATCATATCCTGATCCCCCCGACACGGGATCCCAGCACCTCAGTCTCCACCACGTGAACGGAGGTGTCTTCTGAACTCCAGGAAATCACTGTGCACTCACTTTCCCTCCCAAGGATTACTACGGTGACCACAGTACTAGGGAGCCACTGACTTTCACTAGCAGGTCCTTCCCTGCCCCCCCGCACCCCCATCTATACAGATGGCTTGGTGGGGCCAACGTTTATTCCATTTAAGGAACCAAAATTTAAAAGCCCTGGGGCTAAATGAAAGAAGAATTTAATAAAGACCCAGGAATCGTGATTTCTGAAAATGGACAACTGTGCCCAGGTAACTCTCCTTTACCCAACTCCTGGTTCCTTTCCCTGGTTTGCACCACACTGGCCTTGCCTGGCTCAGTGGGAAAAGTGAACTCGACCTCCCAGACGAGGCTTCTTGCAGTGTCTGCAGCCAGGTCACCTGGGGAAATCTGCACCTTCAGGAAAGGTGCAGACCCAGACCAGACTTCCCTGCCCAGCTCTCCCGAAAGCTGCATGGGCGGCTCTGGCCTGATATGCAAAAGTGCACTGGGTACACAGGACAGTTTTTCATATAATTCAAATACCCAGATACTTCAATAGAGCTTGTTCTCTTCTATCATTAGAATTTTTCCTGTAATTTCCTGACACCTCTGCCTTGCTGCTAGAATTTCGTCTGAATGCCCCTTCTGGACCTAGCCTGAGGTGGCAGGGCTAATGGACAGGTTCCCCTCAAGCTTCCGTGCCCCCATGCCATCACAGCCAGCTCTTGCATTAGAAGCCTCTGTGGGTAAGGCACCTCTGTGGCCTAGGTTGACCTAGGACTCCTGATTTCAGCTCAGGTCATGCTCTCACCAAGATGGAGCCCCTGGTTGGGCTCTGCGCTGTGCGTGCAGCCTGCTTGGGATTCTCTCTCTCCCTCTCCCTCTGCCTCTTCCCCACTTGCATGTGCGTGCCCTCTCTCTCTCTCTCAGGAAGGAAGGAACCTCTGTGGGTGAGGCCTTTCCACTCCACCCATAAAAATCTATCTAAGGTGGGCTGAATGTGGAGACTAAATAAGGTAAGGTTTGTAACAGCAATGAACATCTTGGTGCTGTAAAGCCATATACCCTGAAAAAGTAGGCGCTGGGCTCGTGGCCCTCATCTGGACCTAACAAAGGGCTTTATTTGTTGGCGAAATGAGGGGAGAAGGGTAAGACTGAGCTAAACTCCTACAAGGTTATCATCGGTTGGTGGTCTATCTCACCTGATCCTGGGAGCGCTCCCCGCCTCCACTGACTGTGGGGGGAGCTGCCGGATGGAGGGGGTGGATCCCAAGCCTGGCCTATGGTTCCCCTGCCAGGGTTTGCTGTCCCAACTGACCTACATGTGTCTGCAGGGGACTCCCTGCTACTAGGAACCCAGATGGCCAGGTCATGGAAGAGGAGGTCAGCCACTGGGTCAGAGGAAAAAGGAGCCAGGAAACCCCTTTCTGCCACCCCTTGCCTCCGAGGGTTCCTGCATACCTACACTTGGTATTCACACTTGGTGGTCTGGCTGGCTCCCTTGCTGTTCGGTTTAAAACTTACCAGGCTCTCTTGCCACTGAAGCTATCTAAATATGGTCCCTCCTCTCTGAGTGCTCAGTTAGTCAGTCAACAAACAGCTGTTGAGCTGTGCAACCTCAATAAAGGATCCAGAGTTTGGTAAGAGCTCCCAGGATGGCCAGTTCTTGAAGGCAGCCTTGGGTATCTAGAAGGTGACACAAACATTCCTCACAGGGATCTTGTGAAAACCAGGTGGGGTTAATAAGGGAATGCCTGACCCTGCCACCACCCATCCACGGAGAGTTGGATCTGAGATTGAGAAAAATCCAGGACAGACTTTTCTGGAGTCCCCAGGGGACACGCTGGGGTCTCACCTCCTTCTGATCCCACTCCTGCGTTTAAGATGGCAGCTGGGCGGGTCTGGATGGTCTGATCTCCAGCAAGAGCCCTGACCTCTAACCTCTATTTCTTAACTCCAAAGTGGGGGTGGGGGGGTGGTTGTGGAATTAAATGAGCTAAACCAGAGGGTGCTGACAAAGCCCTGGGTCCAGTGGAAGGCCTCGGTGGTACCAACGCCTTGGTCCAGCCTTCTCCTGCCTTCCCATTCCTTCCCTGCCTCCAGCTCTCTCCTCCTCCTTAGTCCCCCAGTTACCAGCGCCTTGGCAGAGAAAGAGGCGTGTTATTGGGGAGCACGGCCTCTTGCGAATCCGTGGACCATGTGAGGACACAAGGTTATGCTGGCTGACTGCAGACTACTCCAGAGTCCAGAAGGGTGTGTATGTGTGTGTGTGTGGGGGGGGGGGGGG